ATCTCCCATTCGTGGAGTACGCTTGGGAATTCTGTGGGCTCACCGTGGCGATGGCTTTGGATGACGCCACGCTCAACTCGCTGTTCTGGATCGGGGCTAATTACCATCGCCCCGTGGACCTCCCAGACACCACTGGACTAAGCTGGAGGGAAGGGATCCTCCAGTGTCTAGAGAGTGTCCGGCCCCGATCTAGAGCCAGCTCGCCATCAGGCCCGCCGGCCGCCGCTGACTCAGCTCTCTTGGACATGGCGCTACCTCCATAGTTCTCTGCTTCTATCCTCACCCCAGAATCCACTCCAGAAAGTTCTCCTTCATCTCCGCTGGTCCTGTTCAGCCCTCCTTCGTCTCCTGATTGCCCCGAGTTAGCCAGCCTTGCACCTCCAGAGTGCCCTCCAGAGTCAGCTCCTCCATGGCATCAGCTCCTTAATTAGCTACTTGTACTAATCTAATAAACACTAGTACACATTTATTAGATACTAGAACTTGTTCCAAATGTTACTTGTAAGATTTTTTAAAATTATTTTATATTATATTGTATTATATTTTATATTTTATTATAATTAAACTTTACAGTGGCCATTCTAATAAGTCATAATGAGTAAAAAGACAAGTAAAAAAGCAGTTATGACTAGTAAAATATGAATTATTACTAGGAACAATCAGGGTGTGATTACTAGTAGCAATCAGGTGGGGGGCCTGTAGTGACCTGTGCACTGATAACAATTACAATGTTTGTAATTTTGCCTCAATAAACTCTGAATTTGTTGTTTATCAATAGGTAGTGAGGTAGTTGTTAAGTTTAGGTATGTGTAGAACTATGGAATCTAGAATATGGTCATTCTTCAAAATAACTTTTATGTTCAATAGAAGAAAGAAATTCGTTCAGGTTTAAAACAACTTGAGAGTGTGTAAATGATGACAGAATTTTCATTTTTGGGTGAACTATCCCTTTAGTGTTAATAAAACAATAAAACACAAAGAGAAAATTTACTCATTGCTCTTGACTGAAGAACTTTATTACAGTTGCTTTAAAGGGATAGTTCACCCAAAAATGAAAATTTGATGTTTATCTGCTTACCCCCAGGGCATCCAAGATGTAGGTGACGTTGTTTCTTCAGTACAACACAAACGAATATTTTTAACTCAAACCGTTGCAGTCTGTCAGTCATATAATGTAAGTGGATGGGAATCACGGCTTTGAGAGTCAAAAAAACATACACAAACAAAACCAAATTAAACCCTGCGGCTCGTGACGATACATTGATATTTAAAGACACGAAACGATCGGTCTGTGCAAGAAACTGAACAGTATATCGTTTTTTACCTCTGATCGTCTTTTGACACTCCTAATTGAGATTGTAGATAGAGTGTCAATGGTCCATTTGAGAGATAGGTGGCGGTAATGCACTTATAAGTCTGCAATCTGCCGTAAAGCAAGAAGAAGAAGACGCGTCATGCGCTCAGGACAGTTCAGACATTGCGGTGAATCAGAGGTAAAAAACGATATAAATACTGTTCAGTTTCTTGCACAGACCGATCGTTTCATGTCTTTACACATCA